CTAGATGGCCGCTTGTTTGCCTTCAAGCCTTTAAGACCCCAGACACTATATCTTTTGATAGCCGGGCATTCTTCACCACCTTTGCTTATGCACACGTCTGTCTTCAGCGATCATGTCAGGAAGGTGGGTATCATGAAATGACTGTTTAGCTGAGCAAGGTGCTCTTGTATTAAGGGAATGCATGCGAGGAGGCCCAATGTCCACCAGCTACCCTACTACGAAACTTATAAATATATGCACATAGGTCCATTTCCCCCATAATCTTAAATATATTTACATATGTACATGGCTGTATTTAGGCTTCTATGTATGCCCTTTGCCTCCTACTCCTTTCCTCTATTTCCTTATGCTTTCCTCCTGTCCCACTACCACGTCCAGCCTTCATTCTGGTTTCAGTAATTCCTCTCAGTTACCTTGCCCTTGGTCACTCCCTACCAGTCCTCCCATCCCCTCCCTGCCACTGGTTTTGAACCACTCATTGTTCCCTTGTCCCTGGGTTGACCAACACCTCCTCCCTTCCCCTACCTCTCACACTCCCATGTCCTTCCGGGACCGTTGGTCCCTTTATTTTCTTCTCACATTGTTTGTCCAGCCTCTCTTATCTAGGTGGACCTGCAGATATATTAATATGTGCATAACATTGGGGATGGCTTTGACAACACCGAAGTGGCACATGAGAACATGGCGGCGACGGCGGCAGCACCGAAAAGCTAACAAACAAAAAAGCCACTGGCATACAAAATTTAAAAGAAGAGAAAAAAAGAAAAAAACAAAACAAGTAGGCAGAAAAAAAGAAAGAAAAATAAAGCCTGTTAATAGTTCAAGGACTGTTTGTTGACCTTTAGGAGTGTTTTCCAGACGAGCCTTATGGGGTGCTACGTCCTGGCCCCAAAGTCCATCCTTTATACTCCCTCGGGACCTCCTTGCTCTGCTTCCCCCCGCCGCTCCATTGCACGCCCCCAGTGTTTTGCCTCAGTGTGGTGGGGTCAGCTCAGAAGAGAACATTACCCTATCATCTAACAACATGGACTTTGACTCCCTCAGTTTCCCATTGGACCGGGAGTTACCAGAAGACAATGATCAGGCAGAGAATACTTTGTTCACAGTTCACTGTACACAGCTGACACATTAAAATAATGCACTAAGGTCACAGTTAATGTTCAGTTCTCATCATATCCCCTGAATGATATGTGCATCAGAGAAATCCAGTGCCTCAAAGCAAATTATCTATGGTGCAGGCTAGTAAATTTGCTATTAAAAAAAATCTTAATTTCAGTGTTGTTTTTCTTCCTTTTAATTTTCAGTTAACACGAGGACCCAAAAGCTATTATTCTTTCCAAACAAAAATTAGCACTTGGTATTTATTCTCTTTTTCATTTGCAGGGACTCATACATATCCTTGCATTTTGTTTTTGAATTTTGTCATCTTGCAAAACACAGCTGCCTAGTTGATTCACAGAACACAGGGTAGCAGTTTTGGAAATATTCATTGTTCAATTCAGAAAATTAGACTGACAGCTGAATTCATTCATCAGGTCTTCATACCTACCGTGTACCTGCATCTAGAGGCAATTTTTAACAATTGTATAACAGATTAACACTTTTTTTACTGTCATCTTGCTAAAGGAGTTGACATAGCTAAAAGTGAGATTATTTAAGGTCAGGAGGGGGCGGGGGCGAGGCAAGGGAAAATCACCTTACTTTTGTAAAGCCTACCACTTTACCCTTTGAACATTCTGTCTCCCGAACAGATTACTAGGCTTTCAGGTACCTGTCCTGAGATTTCAAGAGTCTTATTTTTCTGGAGTTCAAGCAAGCATGCTTACCTAAACATTTCTATGTCTGGTTGACATGGATGAAAGCAATACCATGTATGTGAGCCTCTTTCTTTTAGATCTAAAGTTCTACACCCTATCATTTCTGCAAGGCGCCCTGCTGGTTAAAGCGCGGGGTTGTTAACCAAATGACCATCAGTTGGTGCCACCAGTCTTTCTGTAGGAGAAAGATGGGCACTCGGAAAAACGTGTAGCCTTGGACACTCTTGGAAGCAGCTCTAATTTAACACTCAGGGTCGATAGGAGTCCATATCAACTAAACTCCAGTGGCTCTGACTTGGGGTTTTTAATGGTACGTGAAACAAAGAAATTGGCGCGTTATAGTTAAAAACAAAACTTCTTATGCCTAATTATTAAACTTTAGGTTGGCGTCAGTTAAAAAGTTCTCTTGTACTATCCACAGTACCTAACATGGAGCTGGGTACATAGAAAACTCCCAATGACGTGCAATAATTTGTTAAAAGAAAGTATCTTTGGTTAAAAAAGAAGTCTGAACAGTGAAATACAATTTCTGAGCTGTAGAAGCCAAAATAAATATTTGTTCAAGAGCATTAAAATAAATTAAATCATCTTAAAATGCTAGGTACCTTAGGACCTTACTTCAGAATTTTGCATTAACATGCTTGATTTGTGTTTCTATACAACTCAGCAGGGGTAAAGGTGAAGCTGTCTTTTCCTGTCAAGAGTTCTAGTTTCAGAAACCCACAGGCACAGTTCTGCTTTGCCTTACAGGGCTGCTGCAGGTCAGCATTGACTCGATGGCATGGAGTATGCGCAGACAACTCAAGAACAAGATCAACGAATGAACCATAAACATACAGTTAATTCAATAGCATAAATCAGATATAGAACATAAATTAGGGTTCGTTCCGGTTGAGATCAAAAAGTTGTACTAGGTTCATTACAGATAAATTTTCTTTTATATATTAAGAAATATTTAAGTCATTAGGACATATGAGTGTATGAAATCATCCTATTCCAAGTCCATAAAACTAGTCTTTGGAAGCAGGTCGTCTCTTGGGACTCTGCATTCTCAAGAGAAATGAAGCTCTATCTTTAGCTGGGACTGACCATCAAATACATCCAATATATGGGGAAAGAGCAACTTTTCTATGGCTAATGTATGTCGACTGAAAAGAAGCATTGTCCATATAGACAGAGATTGATCAGCATACATGTCTGTTATATTACTCACTGTACTTTACGACATGCTTAAACTTTTTCATTTCAAAATAAAAATGCAATTACCTTTCTTGCTTCTTTGATCATCTTCCGAATGGTTTCCTTTATTGTAAGTGGCTGGGCCCTTGGTGGATGATACAGGAGGTCTATATGTGTGCCCCCTAAGAGTCCAGGCATCACATATGGCCAGCCCAAGTCGAGGTTTGGAGCTTCCACATCAGACTCAATGGGCCAATAGGTCCCAGAAGATGAGGTATCATCATAAGAATTCTCAGTACCATGCAGTGTACAATGTGAAATTTTATGAACATTTTTCAAAATATAATTAATTTCTTCCTCAGCTAGAAATTCCGATACACGTTCCTTGGCAAGAAATTCTTGGTAGGCTTCTAACCCATGTTCAATCAGAATATCAACAGCTACCCGATACCACTCTTTGTAGTGAGGCTCAATGTAGTTGTCCGATTTACACTCATCATTCAGCGAGGAAAGCATTGATGAGGTCTCCATGCTTGCAAGTGTTGACAAGAGCACCTTCAAATGTCCATTCATACAGCAAGGAGATGGTTCTGGTAATTTGAAAAGAAAGAAATCAGGGTTATTTTTGTCTTCTATTTTATTGGAAGCTCATAATGATATTACAGCAATCCATCATTCAATTAGATCAAGCATAATTGTACAATTGCTGTCACCATTGTTTGCAAACATTTTCTTTCTTCTTGAACTCTTTGATATCGGCTCCACTTTATCCCCTCCCTCTCCCACCTTAGCCCCAGGAACCCTTATTATTATATTATGTATGTTTTTCTTGCCATATCTTAGCTCTTCCACTGTATCCATTCACAGCAATTCTGTTGCCCATTCCCCTCAGGTGGGGTTATACAGTCATCATTGCCATCGGTTCCAGGGCGGGAGGGGTATGGAGGGGGTGATGAGCAAATAACAACGGGGACATGGAACAGCAAGGCCTTTAAAATTGATTGTGAGGATGATGTAGTATTCCTGGTCATGTTTGATCAATTGAAATGTATCCAAGAGGAATTACTGTGAGGTGAACAATGGGTAAAAAAATGATAATGGAGCAGGAGGGAAAAAAAGACGAAGAGGAAAGAATAAGAAAGTAAAAATTATATATATAGATATCAATATAGATATGTAAATACATAAAGATAGGTGTATTGGTCTATGTGTGTGTGTATGTATATATATAAGAACAGTTCTAATAATGTGGCAATGTATGATACCCACCTTCCCAACACAATCACTGAAAATAGAATAGGTACAAAAGCAAATGTGATAAAGAAAGCTGATGGTGCCTGGGTATTAAAAGATATAGTGTCTGGGGTCTCAAAAGCTTGAAGTTAAACAAGTGGCCCTTCAGCAGGGAAGCAACAACGCCCACAGGGAAGCAGCACATCAGCCTGTGTGATTATGCGGTGTCGACATGAATAGGTTTCAGAAATTCAAAAATAAGCAATCAGATAGATATGAAGGAGTGTGGATAATGTGGAGACCCAAAACCCACCTGTGAGATTAGTGGACACTCCCTGACAGAAGGGCCAAACGGAAGGGACCATACTTCCAGGGTGCAGCACAGCATTGATAAAACACATCACTATGCTCTAGGTCTTGAATATGTCTTCCCCTTACTATTATGCTCTTAGTTTTACCTCTTTAATCTTGTGAGACCTATGTATATTCATTTGTGTACTTAAGGTCACTCAATACATGAAATCCAAGATAGATTAAACCCTTCAGAAATAGAAATGGGAGTAATGATTCCCTGAGGGCACAGGTAGAGAGGTGGGCGGAAGGGGGAGAAACGGGGAACCAACAGGCAACATTACTTATTTTTACACTGACTTATTTCCACATCATCAGTTTGAAACAAGATAGCCAACATGTCAATCCAAAACTACACTCGCTGACATCAACCGATAGCAGCCCCATAGGACAAAATAAAACTTCTCCATGTGGGTTTCTGACGCTATAAATCTTAACAAGAACAGAAAGCTCCTCTTTCTTATGCAGAGCAACTGGTAGGTTCAAAATGCTGAGTTGGCAGTCCATTACGCCAGGGCTCCTTAAATCAACAACACCCAATGTATACATCTACAACAAAAAAAGCCAAACATATTCTTCCGCAGACTGTTGGCTGGTTTTCCTCTTCTTTCATCTTTTCACCTAAGGGACCTTGCATCTCTGACATCCAGAAAGCCCATCTTTCTTAACTTAAACCTGGGGCTAGCCATGGTTTTGTTCATTTCTGGTAGTTTTTTTGTTTGAGTTTTAAGTAATTTTAAAATAGAATTAGAACGTAATCAATGGCTGGCCAAACATTCACCTAATTTTTTACTAAGTACTTGGACTGCAAATATACTAGATGAAATATTAAAACACAGGGCACTTGCCTTCCAGGAGCTTAATAATTAGTTGAAGAGGCAAAATATCTACACAAAACAATTAACACTTTGAACAAAGCAATATATTGCTAAAGGCCAAAATGGGTAATGTTTTATTCAGTGCTTTAAGAACAGAAGCAAGCAAAGATCACTAGGGAACACATAAGTTGCAGATCGCTTTGGAAAGGGTGTGGGCCACAACGGACTCTCTGGTGATGAGTAAGAATATTCCCTGATGATTAATATATAAAAGGCGATTGCTTTTCTATACACCAGCATGATCAGGTGGAAAGAAGGAACATTAGTATCCCACACAAGGGAAAACACAAGCACACATGCTGAATAGCAATGAGCTTGGTATATTTGAGGGTTAGCAAAACAGTCTGATCTCCTGGATCACAGGTTTCTTATACTAAGAGCTGGAGAGAAATTTAAATAGACAAATTTGGATCGGGTATGAAGTGGCACTGGGTAATTTTAAAACAAAAGATATATGAAAAACAAGTATTCTGACAGCAGCAATGGGGTGGAGAATCTGAGCATTCAAATGTGCAATGAAGAGATGGTGGGATTATTTTAATGAAGGTTCATGAAAAGAACTCCTATGGTTAGGGAGGCATGCCAGGGATGATGAAATGTCATACTTAAAAGATACATTTCTGTTAGGAATTAAAATCTGCCTATTCAAGTTTACCCTCAATCGTTCATAAGGTCCACAATTTGCTATTCATTCATTCATTCATTCACTTGCTCAAGCATTGAATGAAATACTCCACTAGACTTTATCTAAATCATAAAAGAAATAGTCCACACCTTTGAAGTCATGGCCATCATTATTGTGAATTCAAACAAAATACAACTCTATGATGTGCTATAGGCAATGGTAAACTGCTGGCACCCACTCCAGGATATATTTGGCAATGTCTGGAGATAATTTTCATTGTCACAACTGGGGGAGGCATACTTCTTGCTGTTAAAAGTTACCTTCAGGTTGATAGCTAATGTGTAGAGGCCAGAGATGCTGTGAAACATTTCACAGGATAGTCCTACACAGCAAAGTTTTCATCCCTCCCAAAACATCAGAGGCCTGTTGTTTCAGCATTGGCAAGCTGCTCACTTTAGGTGCATAGAATCAGACTACCAATTAACAATCGGTCCAAAACTCTTTAAAGTTCTTTCTTGCACATGGTATACTCATTTTTAACAATGAAATGAACTTATTATTCACTTGATCAAAGGAAATTCACATAGGTGAACTATACTTCTCTAAGGCTCAATCAGGTGTATTTCTCATTTGAAAATCCGAACCCTTGAAGGTACAAGCACCGAGGGCGCAACACAAAATCAGCACCTATTATTTGTCATCATTAAAAACGATGGGTAACTTCTGGTGTTCATAAGTTGGAGATTTTCTGAGCACATCCTTCACTAAGTGTCTATAAGTTCCGCTACTCATTGCCTCTAACATGGGATGCGCCAAGCCTGTTGTCTATTTGAATTTGATGCATAATGTGATTTGAAATTGCACTGATGCATTGAGTTTTATCTGTGCAAATAAAACTCTGCAACTATTAAAAAAATCGTATCTTGAAAGGAAATGTTGAAATGACCAGGAAAGGAAAATAAAACCACAAGGAACTACGTGGTAAGTAAATTATGAAAAAAATAACTTAAAATGAGAGAAAAGTTAAACTCTATGACACTAAGCATAAAGCAATGAAAGGTACAAGGCAGAAGATCACAGCATAAAAAAGAAAACCGTCAACAACCATTAGCACTACATGTTTGATTTGTAAAACTAAGCAAAGACAAGAATAAGCATCCTTACTGTCTTGCTGCAAAAGCTACCGTTCACCCACTGTCTGGAGATGTTCACTTCTATAACAAGAGTTATTTAAAGGGGACACAAGGTACATGTGAAGAAACCATCTATAAACACGTTTTAAAAGAGAACTACAAGATAATGGGGCTTACGCGGATAGGAATGGCAGAAAATAGCATACGTAATTAGTTACAGATTTACTATAGCACTCTCAAGAGTTTAATCACTGAACATTTGAAGGGCTTCATTTAAGAACTTAATTGCGTATGAATTTAAATATATGAAAAATGCATTAATGTATTAATACTCATTAACACCTCCTAGAAGCATATTTTCCACACACAAGGTGGCGTTAACGAGAGAAAAACAAAACCCTGTCAATATGTGCAACCTCGGCCAACTATCGGGCTCATCCACTATGTAGTGACGCATTCTAGAAAAACAGCCTTACAAAATTTGTTACCCAAATTTCATGTCTCCAAACACCACAAATTAAGTTCACTTTTTAATCTTTGGCATCATTTGAGGAGAGAAGCAATTTTCAGTGTTCCATTGGTAAATACAAAGGATTTAGAAGTAGGCATAAAAGTTACTTCAATTAAAAAAAAATATTACTTCAATCCATGGACTACTTGGCCACATGGTAGGGCAATGGCGAGAATACCTCCTAAAGGGAGCCATAGGATGTAAGGATGCGTCAAGCACACCCTGTTGTGTCTTCCCACAATGTCAGGTTATTGGAGGGAATAACTTACTAAATCAATTAAAATTGCAAATGTCTCAATAAACTAAGTGTTTGGATCGAAATACTGAGTATCAGGTACAAACACTATTTCAAAAAATAAGTCTACAAACTCATGCAGCTGACAGTGAGAGAATAATGAAAGTCTACCAATTTGATGGAAGGTCGGAAGGAAGGTTTGGCATGACAATGGTCTCAAATGAGTGGGTACAGAGAGGAGGCCAGCATCAGTGTTTCTGGAGAAGATAACTTGGAAGCCAGGATCTGACCAGGCAAACAGAGTTTTGGACAAGCTGTTGCTGCTGACTGCTCTTCCTGTCTCAATGTGTCCCCCACTCCAGATCAGTCAGGAGGTAGCAGAGACTCCAGAGCGAGCCTGGACAAGAAGCCACTGCTGATGGCGGTGTTTGCCTCGATGCCAGCCTTGCCTGTGGCTGTAAGTGGCATATGTACACAGGCATATGTACACAGGCAAGTCCTCACCAATGCTTGGTTTTAGGTCCAAGCACGGATTGCTCTATCGTCTGGATTTATAAAGTTGAGTCTCATTTTATCACTTCCACTAGACACGGCTT